TCAGAATGTAGATTAAATCAAAGTGAACTGAAAACTAGTTCTATTTCTTTTTTATATGTATTTAGTACAGGTTCTACAGGGTATCTCTATGAAGATCAGAATTGTAGTGATCCTCCTGCTTTCAGCCTTCCAAACACTGGGATTACAGGCACAGGCCACCATGCTCTGTCTCAATCACTGTCTCAGTGCATCCTCGGGGCCAGGGCCGGGGCCTGGGCCAGCACAGCACACCGGGGATTGAACCCCTCAATTTTTCACATAATGAAAACTTATCACTGTTCTGTGTTCTCACCATCACACTAAATTGGCTCTTTTATTATGGTTAGAAATTACTATTCACCTCTCATAGTCTTTTTCACACACACGTATTGCTTTTAGGATCAGATACGCAAATACATTCTAATCATTATCAATGAAGCAAAAACAAAATGTAAAAAAGCAAAAGAAAAAGCAAATGGTTATTGAATGCCTAGTATGTGTTCATGCACATTCATTACCTCCTTCACAAAAAATTTCATCAGATGTTGGTTCTCTGGTCCCTATCCTAGTGACCACCAAGTCACACTCACATCAAAATGGCCATGTGACTTTCTTTTCTCAGGTTTTATGACAACATGCTGACGCGTAGCCACAGAGAGCATGAGTGCTCGCTGTGCTTCCTATTCAAGATACCTGTTCACCTAAAAGCAGACATGACCAGAAATGTATGTTGGAATAGCAAACAAGAGGTCGGAGTGAAACACCAAGCTCATTACGAATTCTGAAACCCTTCTCTAACACTCTGCATGCTTAGTTGTGAATGTTTAGAAGAGCTAAAAGTGTTATGAAATGCAAATACAATCCCTGTAAAAATCTCTTCTCAGGAGATCCAGAAAGGTTATGTTTAAGCTTGAATGTGAAATATTGACAGACGGAAAGGAGAAACAAGAAATGGTAGGATTGACAGATTTGGGTCATTGATCAGATAAACCAGATAACAATATTCAGCTACTTCCAGAAAGTACTTATTTGCAAGACTACACAAAGGCTCACAGTTTCTTGGTCACTTCTAGGTGCATGTTTATTTAGCCTAGAGAAAAATCTTACCAGGTATGTTGTTAGTTAGGAGTAGAATCTTTCAGCAATATTGGCTATGAGCCAGCAGGACTGGCTTCGTGTAAGGGAACTTGCTATGATGTTGTTTGATGACCTGAGTTTATCCACAGTTGGGTTTACAATGTATTTCCATTATGGTTAAACTTTCCCAAGCCTCAGGATGCTTGCCTTATGCTTTTGTGAAGTTAGCAGGAAGACTTTCTGAAGCATGAGCGGTAGCAATTGCCATGAATTTGCTATTGTAGTCTGCCTTGGATTTGTGTCATTCATCTTTCACTACATGAATTCGCCACTTGAAACCATCACTTTCTCTTTGGCCAGTACCTTCTGCCTTGTCTCTTTCCATCCATATTTTTGAACCAGTTTGTTTTGCAGAGTCCTGTCATTCTTCAGACAGAATTCACTGAAAAATTCTGTTGCAAAGCTCTGGCCAAATTCAATGAACAAGAAAGTTCTAGCTTCTATATTTGTTCCTGGCACTTCTGCCTGCCTGACACCCTCTGCATCACTCAGTTAGGAAGGGAAATGGTCACTGCATTTTTCAGCTATTGTTAACATCAGTTTTGCCTGGGAAGTACCCATCTTGTGTCTTTCTCATTTTTTTCCCCTTCTTATTGGTCTGATCTGCTGGCTGCCCGCTGTCAAATTCACCTCATCTAATTCAATTTTAATTTTTACTCTTAAATTTAGATACAAGATCCAACTGTTTTATCTGTGCTGCAAGGTTAGACTCCTTCAAACTTGACATTCACTTGGGGCCTGAGGTACAGCTCAGTGGCTCAGCTCCTGCCTGGCACGCATGAAATCCTGAGTTTGACTCCCAGCCCAGTAGTAGGAAAAAGAAAGAGAGAGACAGAGACAGAGACAGAGACAGAGACAGAGACAGAGAGAGAGAGAGAGAGAGAGAGAGAGAGAGAGAGAGAGAGAGAGAGAAAGAGAGGAAAACTTGGCATCCTCTTCATGAGCAAAATCTTCAGGACTTTTTTGTTTGTATAATCTTTTAATTCACCACGCTCAGTATCATGTTCTCTGGGTATTTATTCTTTGGCTTCCTATTGTCATGACACTTCGCCTCAACCTAATGTTTTCTTTGTAAATCCAATGAATTTTAGATCTATTCTTTTCATAACTCAGTTTAGCTTCAGTTTCTCTCTGAAATATTATAGCATTCTTCATAAAACTCTGCCATCTTTCATGGATTTCTTGCCAAATAGCTTGTTTTCTGACATTCTACTCATCAATTCTCAATCTAACAGATTCTTGGTTCATTTCTTTGGAACTGCTGACTGAATGTTTGAGGCAGATGTATCCAGAGGTAGCTGGTTTTGATTTCTTCAAAAGATAACACTGTTTTTTTAAATAATGTTTTATAATCTGATATCTATTTTAGTAGCTTTCATTATAAGCTCTTTTAAATATAAAAAATAACAAGTTGTTTTTGCTTGATAAAATTTTACTATTTTAAAGGAACTTTTTTGGGGGAAGGATAGCAAATAACTAATTTCCAATTGATAAGTAATAAGTACAAATTTCTACAATTTGTCATAAAAGTCAGGACAAGGCCTCCTGCCACCTTCTGTGGAGAGGAGCGGGCAGACAGTGAAAATACCTACCATTGTGTTTCCTTTGTGGTCATTTCTAACGTTTTTATCTTTACCTACTGACCATCTTATGCATCTCTTTCCTTTTTTTTTTTTTTTTAACTGAGAAAAAAGTATGTATTTAGAATTAGCCAGCTGGACTCAGTTTAGATGATCCCGATTTTGTTGGCAACATCCAATGCATCATAGTCAGGAGTGAGTTGAACATACGCCTTCTTCTCTCTATCAGGACTGATTAAGGCATTGACCTTGGCAACATCAATGTCATAGAGAATCTTCACAGCTTGTTTGATTTGGTGCTTATTGGCTTTGACGTCTACAATGAATATGAGTGTGTTGTCCTTGATCTTTTTCATGGCTGACTCTGTGGTCAGGGGGAACTTGATGATGGCACAGTGGTCAAGCTTGTTTCTCCTGGGGTTGCTCTTCCGAGGGTATCTGGGCTGCCTTTAGAGCTGCAGTGTCTTGGGACGGTGGAAGGTGGGTGACATTCATATCTTCTTTTTGTGGCTATGGATGCCTTTCAGCACAGCCTTCTTAGCCTTCAAAGCTTTTGCTTTGGCTTCAGCTTTGGGATGGGCAGGGGCTTCCTTCTTTGCCTTCAGTGCTGTCTTGGTAAAAAGGCTCCTATATCTCTTTCTACATGTTTCAATGTGAAGTATTTTTAATTTGACACTTGTAATAAAGCTCAATCTTGTGACTTCTGGATTCGATTCTGGAGAATTGTCACCTAGTCTGTCTTCAACAGAGGCTTTCACCAACGGTTTTCCTAAGTGAACCATAGACATCCGAAGTGTGCAGTGGTTGCTGCCACAGTCCTTAGTTTAAGTGACTTTATACCACAAAAATTCTGATTGCTAATCTTTAGAAAGCTGTATATATTAGAATATATCAGAACATATATGTTTGGACAGGTGTATCAATGTATATTTTTCATACCTAGTAAGGTCCCACCAGGTTTATTTATCTATTTTTATGATTTTCTTCCTGCTCTCTATCTGGCCACGAACACATTAAATACAGTGAAAACCTCCTTTTATTCCAGAATACAGAAGCAAATCTGAAATTTCCAAAGGCATTTTCAGAAATTGTTGCAGAGCTGCCCCGGCTCATGTTTTTTAGTTGATTTTAACATTTAATTGCTTTTGTACATTATAACAAGGCACAAATGGCCAGATTTGTCCTGGTGAAGGTTAGGGCATGAGCTCTCGGGGTCACTGATGTGGCCAGAGCTCCCAACAGTGGCGCCACATGCAGGGTAGCAGCTCCTGGACAGCAGCACACGGATGTAGCTGTGTGCTTGGGCCTTCCCTGCCTGCCTGTGTCTTGAGCCTTCTGCCGTGTGGATGTCATCAGTCCTGCCTAGCAGCTCATTCTTTCAGGCTGAGCTGCGTTTTGTTTTCCTTGGCTAGTTTCTCTCAGGCAGCCTTGCAAGTCCTTGATTCTCACTATGGGCTAATTGCTCTCCTACTTGGCTGAACTGTAATTCAGTGGGAACTATTCCTGCCCAAGGGAATGAGGACAGAAATTATATAATTGAGAATAATGGCTTGAATGCTGTGTAGGGCCACAGTCATGTGCTGGGTCCAGTACACACGAGCTCGGTGGTCTTCACAGGGAGCTGAAAGGGGAATAAAAGTGTTTTCTCTACTCTCTAAATGGCATCTTCATATAGGCTATTCATTATACGAAAGCAGTGGACTGGTCTCTTAGAAAAAACAGACAAAGTTACTAGCTAAACACAGCCCAGTTAAAAAGGCCATGTATCTCTGTAGGTCATTTTCAATTAAATCCAAATATATTCATATTTATATTCATAGTTAATAAATATAAATATTTGTAAGTATTCTTTTCCTTACTAGTATATACATTTAGATATCTGCTAACTAGATACTCTTGAGATAATCATAATGAACTTGACAGAAGAGAAATGATAGTCATTTAGACTTAATATGCTTAATTAGTAATACGCAGAAACTTTCATAAAAGACAGATTTCTGGGGAACATGAACTCTCCAGACTATCAGTTTGCTCAGCAAAACCTCTCTTGCTGATAGTATCCAAGTAGAATATGCAAAAATGCTGTCTTCGGTGCTCTTAACACTAGATGATTAGACATATGGACCAATGTTCATTTATAATTGGAGCTGAAACAGCGAGGGCAAGATTGGCCTTTGTAAACATCTGGTCCCTTTCTTGAAGTTGGTGGTTAAGAACAGAATGAAATGTGTAGAAATTATGTACTGTTTTGTAACCAGAACAAAACAGTTAGAATACATTCAAAAGTTATTCTTTGGATTTCAGGTCCTCCAGGGAAACGGGGGAAGAGGGGCCGAAGAGGAGAATCTGGTAAGTCTCTCTTTCAGCTGCTTCATGTCATTCATATTCTGGGAAGATTCCCACATCTGTTCCTCCTAATTAATGATAATGCTGGCTTTTTTGAGGTTGTGTGTGTGGTGGTGGGAGTTAAATCTTCTGTGCTACATCTAGAATTTTTTTATGTTCTTATTATTTCTATCCAACTGTAAGGTGGAGAAGTTTGCAAAGCATGGTTCACTTTCGGAACCACTGACACTCAGATTTGGCCTACTTGCTATGTCGAGTTATGGCGGCCCTTCCAGTACATGGCAGATATCCTAGCTGGGCGCACAGTGACCACATCTCTCATGCTTCCTTCTTTGTAGGTGTTCAGGAAACGCAGGTTTTCCCCAAAAGCATCTGCCTTAGGATCGTAGGGCATAGGTACAGCAAAGCTCTGTTGTGATCCGATCCAACTGGCACAGTTGTGTCATGCTTTAACTTTCATTCTTTTCAAGCTTTGGAAATCTGTGTCCTCCTTCTGCAGCTATTGAATTGAGTGATGACAACAGCCTTACCAAGCATCTAGCATTTTAGTTTGTGGTCAACAAAAGTAAGGCCTGGAGCAGTCAGGTCACTTGGCTGAGGCCACAAAATTTTCATAAACTGAACGTGAAACAGAAGTATCATGCTGAGTCCCACTTCAAGAGCTTTTTGTTTTTAGGCCAAAGTAATACAGATATGGCAAATTAAAATATTTTTGAAATTAATATCTACCAATATTTATGTTCATTTACTGTATAAGTCTAAGATTTGAAAAACGTAAATCACCAGCTGAAGCTCTTAGCAGACCATCAATTCTTTCTTTAAAGATAAGTAATTTAAATCTGATTATAGCATGGTTTGAAATTTTGGCTTCCAGTATTTACACATATTTGTCAGTATTAAAGACAATTGATTGCCAAATGTTGAAACATCTTTCAGGTACAGACTGATGGGGGAGGAGTCCTTAGATGTCACAGTAGAAAGTGATTGTGAAAATTCATTAGTTTAGGCAATGCAGCTGCTGGGTTCCATTAAGAATATTTTCAAACTCACTCTTAAAGCTTCCGTGGATCTAAGTAATTGGAAACTTGCAGCAGTATACCTTCACCAAACTATAAATCTTCGAAACAGAGAGTGCCTCATAAGACTATTTTGAGGGAGAAGAAATGACAAAACTTTACTAGAGTCAGACAGACAATTGCTAAAATGTTCTTTGTCAAAAGAAAGAAAAAGTAAGGAGAAAATGTTACATTGATGCAAAGTTCTATGGAAAATGTAAGTGGGTTCACAACTTCATAGCTACTTTGAATTTGGGTGTTAACATGCGGTATATGAAGTACTGAAATTTATTATTCTTCCATGTGTTTTGATGAGAAATATATAGCTCTAAAGACACATATACCTGAGCACTAAGGGTTTTTTTTTTATGCTGAGTGAAAAACATTCTTGGAACAAGTAGCAGGGACAGTTCTGATTTAACTATTTTACAAATGCAAGAAGTTGCCTATTCTATACTGCCTGTCATAAGTAACCAAATACCCTCCTGATTCATATTTTAGCTAAGCTTCTACAAATTAATCAGTCTGATTGTGTGCAAGTATAAATGCATTTTTCTGAGATGATAGCCAATGGTGCAGAACCTAAGAAAAGTTGAATAATCACTCAGTTCCAGGTAGTGTGATGAGTCTTTAAGGGGAATATTTTGCGTATTCATTAATTCATCTCTCCTTTTTCTTCTCTCCCACCCCTCCTACTCACAGGTCCTCCTGTAAGTATGTTGGTTGTTGACTTCAGCTGTTCATTAAAGAGGATCACGTATGTTAAAACTTTGTTAAAACATCAAAATATCATCAATATTTCAGTTAGGGACATCCTGCTGACCTCTTAGGAGTACTTAAACTTGGAAAATTACTTGTTTTTTAATTATACATTTTGTAATCATGTGATATTTGGAGTGCAATGTGTCCATTAAAAATTTTATTTTTGATGTGATCACATATCAATTACTTGCTTGGGACTTATGAAATAATTAAGTAGCATTAATTTGAATATTTAAATTAAATTCAAATATTTAAATTTAATTATTTGTTTAATAATTTAATAATTTATTATTATTCCATTTAAATATTTCCCCCAGAATTCTGAGGTTTCTTTTTGAGGAAAATCTCCAAGCTATTTCACACATCTTTTTTATTTTTTCACTTGTATCTGAAATACTTGCATTTGCCACACCACCAAATGCAGATGGCAACACTATAGGGCAAGTGATACCCCCTTTGGGCTCTGTCTCTCTGCCTCCCCGGGCTGCCCTGGCTTTGAAGTCTGTTGAAGCTGGCCTGCAGAAAGAGCCTTGTGGACCCCATGGAGAGTTTCCCTCTCTTTTTCTTTCCTCAAGTAGGTCATGCCTGCAGCATTCCAGGCTGCTTTGCACTCCCAGGAAAAGATTATCTTGTCAGCTTCAAGCTGGATGTGTTTTTGAGTAATATCCTGGATATCTGCTGTGTGACCCCTGTGTTTATACAGTGCACTGTACTCTTACAGTAGCAGCGACCATTGGCCTTGGGATATTTTCTTATCCCAGATAGCCACTCTGCAGCAGAGGTCACAGGCACCACTTGGCAACTTATCTAACAGGCCTGCGTGGTCCAGGGAGGGGGTTAGCATGGACTCATCGACTCTAGTCAGAGGAAGCATTGGCTTCCAAATATCTTTTGCAGTCTTCCTGCCACATTCAAGCACGGAACATAAATCATGTGTGCAGTGAGTTTGCTTCTGTAACTGACTTTTGGCTCTTGCTTAATGCTAGGCAGATGGCATGCCCCAGGTCTGCGAGCCTTTACTCTTTGGCTTGTATTTAATCCTCTGTCTTCAAAACTAGAAACAATCCCTGACTATCTAGAGAAAATTCTGAAGACTATAGCCAGTGTAGCATATTCGGGGCCTCTTCCTGTGCAGTGTGTGCTAGCCATGCCAAAAGGTACCTCATCTTCCCTGAAAACACAAGAGCCATGTAGCCTTTGCTTTCTTGGGCCACCTACTAGCCTAGATTTCAGAATTAAATATATTGTTTTTCATGGTCTTATTATATATAAAGGAAGAGAGCTATCATATTATGTCCCTAGAATATGGCAGGCAGACTGTATTCCGTTGAAGTATTTTTACACATATTTCATTTTGTCCTATGACACTCTCTGTTAAAAACCTTCTGTTGTTCAGTGGGAAAACTGAGGCTCAAAGAGATTAATTATAAAAGGTTGCATAACTAGAGGGTTTGCAAAGTAGACATTGAATTAGGTATATCTGATTTAAATCAGCTTGCTACATTTTTCCTATTGCTTCTGGGTTACATGTTATGACAGGGATACTTGCTACCCAAGTTTGGTGGGTCAAACAATATTCCTTGACATAAATAATAATAAATGATAATGTAATAATATATAAAGATGTGAAATGGCAAATCAGTAAAGCAAGCAAGAACACTGGTCTACTTTGACTAAACTGAAGAAGTTAGAAGGAGCATAGCGAACCCTGCCACAGAAAGGAGGCATTATGGTGAATTGCCACACTCAGTAAAAGGTAATGCAAGTTGTTTAAAGACACTGATTTTAAAAAAGAGAAGAAAATACATTTTTAAAAATTTTTTAAAGAGGGCTGGGGAGGTGGCTCAGTAGGATAAGTGCTTGCCTGCAAAGCACAAGGGCCTGAGTTCAATCCCCAGTTCTGAAAAAAAAAAAAAAAAAAAATTTTAAAGAATAAAAATAGTAAAAAAAAAAAAAAAGCATTAAAAATGATGAAAAATTTCATTAAGCAAAGTAATAGGAGTTCAATAATGGTTGCTGTATTGAGTGATGTTATCTTCAAATTAGTTGTTTTAGTAACGAGATGTAAACCTGCAAAATTGATTTTAAAAAAAGGAAAACAACAACAACAAAATGTTTTAAGAAATTAGAAAAGCAAAATAAAAGAATACAAAGAAAAAATTTTAAGCATTAACTGCTCCTTTCAATATGAAGTAAAATGTCAGAGACCGGCAGAAATTGGCAGTGCACTTTTCCAAACTATCCTGCATATATACATAAGTATATCTTTTTCCATTCGTTTATTTGTCCTTTTCCTTCTCCTAGTTTTTCCTTCCCATTGAACAAAGTATTTACTTTTTACAGTATCTATTATACTTTTCATAGTATAAAACATGCTCTTTCATGTTTTCACACTAGTGAGACAATATGATGTTTGCACATGCAGATGTGATTTAGTTCACTTACCAATACAATCTCTAATTGTATCTACTTATCTACAGAAGCCTCAATTTTGCCCTTTTTATAGCTTAATAATACTCCATTGTGTAAAAATACCATATCTTTTTTATCCATTCCTAAGCTGATGGGCATTTCGGTTGTTTCTAAGATCTAGCAATGACAAATTGTGCTGCTATAAACATAGATGCACATCTATCACTGTGGTATGTTGATTTCAGTCCTTCTGGAAAAATACTCCAGAGGGGAATAGCTGGCTTGAATGGAACCTCCAATCCTAGCTTTTTGAGGAATCCCCACACTGATTTCCATAATGGTTGTACCAGCCTGCACTCCCACCAACAGTGGAGAAGGGCTCCTTTTTCCCCATAGCCTCTCCAGCATTGGTTAGTGGTTGACTTGTTGGTGGTAGCCATTCTTTCTGGTGTGAGATGATATCTCAGTGTTGTTTTAATTTGCATCTCTTGAATGACTGATGCCACCCTTAGTAGTATATTGGAGCTTCACCATATTAGGGTTTCATGTTTTGGAACCCTTTGGATAAAATAACAAATCCCACTGAAACTTATTTCTAAACCCCATTTGGGGTTTCTAAGGACTATCTGCCTTCTGCAACTTTGGCTTTGGAGTGGGTGGCTTTGTAACAAATTTCTGTACTATTTCTAAGTAAGTACTTCTGAAGGCATTATTATGGTTAGACAGACTTAATAGTATATTCATAACAAGGAAATAATTGATTCTTGAAACATTTAATTTCTAGTGACCTTATTCTATTTTCAGCACTGCTTTGTGTGTATCTAACCTTTGTATTTCTTTGCCATGAACTCACATCAGACTGCTCATGTAGTTTTATTATTTTTTTGATATTTTTAGTTCAGCTTATTCCTACATGTATGTGTGTAGTACAAATGTGTACGCTCCCTGTGGGAAGCCGGCGCCTGTGCATCACACACCTTAGCTCCTTTCTCCATCCCCTTTCCCTTCCCTCCCTTCCCATCTACCCATTCTTGGTCTCTTTCCTTTACATTCCTATGTGTCTGCAGTGTACATTTAGGTTTGTGCCTTTTGAAAAATTATTTAACTATTTCTACTAATCAGGAAGTGGATGCAACATGTAGTCCTGCATGTTGTTGTGATTGTGGGGGCTCTGCCTCGGTCTCAGCTTTGAAGGATGAGGAGCTCCGCGGTAAGCAAGAGCGCAACTTGCCCCGCTTTTGTGGAGCCCTCCTTGACCTGGAACCTACAGAAGCAAACCCCACAGACCTCCCTCTGGCCCTGGGTTTCTGTGGAGCTGCGTCTTTCCTGTCCCCAGAAAAACCATGACCAGGAAGATTAGTAAATGTAGCCTGGTTGGCCCACAGGAGGCAGGGCCGATGCCAGATCTCGTTGGCTCTCACTGTCACTAAGAGTCATCTGGCTTTCTTACCCTTCCAAAATAATGTCCTTAAGGGAGCTTTTTTTTTTTTTTTTTTTTACAAAAAAACTATATTAATGATGGAATTTAATTTAGCAGGTTTACATGTACATGTTGGGTTTTATGGGGGGGATATGTCTTGGAAAACTTGGGTCTGTCACCCTAGAATTACATGTGAATATGTAATAATCCACTTCTTTTGACAGCTCCCATATTTTTGCACATTGAGACCATTTATAATTCAAAACTTGAAGTGCAACTTGAATCACATCCCACATATCAGTGTGCTCTACAGGAAGCTGTTCAGCCTTATGCATTTCAGCACAAAGATCTTATTGCCATAGGAGCCTCTATTTTAAAAAGTTCTAGAGAAGCAATTTTATGCAATTTGTATAATTTGTTTTATGTGAAAATCAGACACTGTTTCTACTTTCCTCTAAGCATGGCATGTATTAGAATATTGTTCTCAAGGTCTCCATGCCAGGCCTTTGAGTACGTGGTTCATGTCACCACATTGGAGCTGGAAGTGTGACCTTCCCATCAGTTCCTCATTGCGCAGCTACACCTGCTACTTTGGAGATGCTGGACAGTTTTCATGTTGCTATGAGCAATAACTTTGATCAGAATTTACAAAATAACTTCAAGGTCTTCAAATGGAACAAGTGTTCCTCAGAGTTCTGATGATTTTCAGAGCCAGTTGGAGATGTAGTCTCTCCATCTTTTCATTCCCTAAAGAAATGCCTTTCTGATAGTCCTGGGTCCCAGAGTCAAGCAAGTCCCATAACTGTAGCCAGAAAAGGCAGGAAACTTTTGATGCTGGCTGTTTTACTCACCTCCACCTATCAAGGTCTATAATGGTGCCTGACTGACAGGGATATGATGTTTATGTTGGGAACTGGAACCCTCTGAGGTGTGAAACATGATGCTACCACAGCACCCATTCTGTCCTGTCCGCCCTCAATAATTGTCAACTCAGTTTGAACCCCAGACTCCTGTTGACAGATGAACGAAACAGACTCAGCCAAGTTAAGCTCACAGCACTCTTTCTGCCAATGTGGTAGATGAATTAGGAAAAGAAACCTCTAGGGCCTTTCCATG